TTTCCTCTCGACTTAGAAGAAGATTCATATCTGTTATGTCTGGGAAATCAAGGGCTGACGTGGGAAGTCACGTGATGAAGTGTTACCTGCTCCCATCAGAACGGTAAGCGCACGTCAGGCTTGCTAGACGCTGTGGAGCTCCCACGTATCCATTTCCCTGCTTCAAATCGCGTGAAATCAGTTTGGGGCGTGGGTAATGTGACGTAAAGCCGGATTATATCCTGACATTCACACCAACCCATGGATTTAATGATGATTACATGCATTCATCTCGTTATAAAAAGAGGAAGATCCCTTCATTAAAGGGATTCGGCTATTTTTACACTTGAACTCTCTCTCTCTTTTGCAAACTTTGTATTTACTTTTCCCAATCATTTGTAAGCCAGTCTGCTGTTACGACCTGACCCATCATACTAATACAAATTAGTGGACGTAGGACTTACTACCTTAGCATCCGAACCACTTAAAAAGCTCTCATTACATTTATTCTATATTCTCTCTATAATCACGTGTATCTCTTAATCAATTAATATTACGCACATATTAATTAGTTAGTGTTAAAATCACGCATCAACAATATTACAGTGAAAAAATTTTGCATTTGAGACAAGGTCAAAGATATTAATTGCCATGAGAAACGTGGAAATTAAAAGTAAGGGAGAACGACTTATACATACCTAATGTTTGCTGAAACGACAAGTTGGTACCCAAAAGGTTTTGAAACGACAAATGGGTACCTTCCGTCATGTTCTGTTAGTGATTTTCGTTTGATAATAGTGAAAAGACTAAAATGCCCTTAAAAGTTTAATTTTTAGTTTTTTATAAATTTAAAAATTTCTAAAAACCCCCTAAGTTTGCTAATTTGACTAAATGACCCAATATATAAAAATTTTATAAAATAACAAAAACACCCCCGCCACCCACAGTGCCAGATTCCGGCCACCACCGCCGGAATCTGGCCGGAAAATTGTGTTACGACACAGAACCGTCGGATCTGTGTCGTAACACACCGATCTGGCCTTTTCCGGCCAGATCCGCCACGGATCTGGCCGGAAAAGGCCAGATCTACGTCTGGCCTTTTTCGGCCTCGACGGCCAGATCTGGCCTTTTCCGGCCAGATCCTCCACGGATCTGGCCGGAAAATGCCAGATCGAGGTGTTACGACACAGATCCGATGGGTCTGTGTCGTAACACAATTTTCCGGCAAGTTCCCGGTCTCGACGGCCGTAGATCTGGCCTTTTCCGGCCAGATCAGCCACGGATCTTGCCGGAAAATGAAAGATCTACGCGTTACGACACAGATCCGATGGGTCTGTGTCGTAACGCAATTTTCCGGCCAGGTTCCGGCGGCGGTGGCCGGAATCTGGCACTGTGGGTGGCGGGGGTGTATTTGTTATTTTATAAACTTTTTATATATTGGGGTATTTAGTCAAATTAGCAAACCTGAGGGTTTTTTAGATATTTTTAAATTTATAAAAAACTAAAATATTAAACTTTTAAGGGCATTTTAGTCTTTTCACTATTATCAAATGAAAATCACTAACAGAACATGACGGAAGGTACTTGTTTGTCGTTTCAAAACCTTTTAGGTACCAACTTGTCGTTTCGACAAACCTTGGGTATCAATAAGTCGTTCGCCCTTAAAAGTAATCCCACGAGCATAAGAAAATGAGAAGCTACCCCAAAATAGCAGTCAGAGGTATCACATCAACGATACAATAAACCAATATATTTAAGTCACATATGCATTATTTTCCTCATCAATACCAACGGTCAATATGATTAGTGGTTCTTAAAATGAACGTGCATTATGAGTTCATTGTACTGCATCAATCACATTGAATTTTGGGGCAAGCACAGAGGAAAACATAAACAATAATGCTATAGACATCGAAAAAACTACATCAAAATTGTGTACCAGTCTACATATAACACGTTTTTTATTTTTTTATAATTTTTTTTAAAGGACGTCCGTCCATAAATAAATTATGAAAATAAAATAAAATAAAAACTTTGGGGACGACCATCCATAAATTATGGACGGTCGTCCCTTACGTTTGGACAGACGTCCATTCCTAATGGACGCTCGTCCATACTTTAAAAAAAAAAAATGTTTGGACGGGCCCGTCCATTATTCTAGTTCTACAAATTAAAGAAAAACTTTGGATGGGACGGGCGTCCGTAAGGAATGGACGCTCGTCCATTACTTATGTTTTTGTGAAATCTTTCCAGTAATAGCAATCTCATGCAGTATCTCCTGCACATCATCAGCCAACTTTTTGACATCCTCCGGCCAGTATAGTACGTTTGCATCCTGGTTGAAGTTCTGTAGCTTATCCTTATTCTCTTCATTGCTGCTGACTTCCCTGAAAATCTTAAACTCTTGCCTCCCTGAAAAAAACACAGTGAATGAAGACGAAGAAGTAGACGGGCGAAGTTCTGCACCTTCTTCACTTGCCTCCATGGAAACTTTATTGCATCCATTTTGATTTAACAGCTTAGAATTTCAAACGCATTGACTTAGACTTTTAAAACACTATACAAACATCATCATCTTTATCTTTATCCTTAATATATTTGTTGAACTGTATTCATGGAAAAAGAAGTAAACGAAGACTGGAACTATTACCCGAAAAGATGATGATGATGATGAAGATAATTTGTAGAAACTAAAATAATGGATGGGCGTCCACTAGAAATGGACGCCCGTCCAAACTTTTTTTTTTTTTTTTAAAAGTATGGACGGGCGTCCATTAGGAATGGACGCCTGTCCAAATGTAAGGGACGGCCGTCCCCAAAGTTTTTATTTTTTTTTATTTTCATAATTTATTTATGGACGGGCGTCCTTTAAATGGGGACGCCCGTCCCTCGTACATGGACGCCTGTCTATATAATATGGACGGGTGTCCATGTGAGTGAATGACTGTCCAAATTTGATGGACGGCCGTTCACTAGAAAAAAATTGTAAAAAAAATGAAAGACGTGTTACATGTAGGCCGGTACACGATTTCGGTGTAAGTTTTTCGGTGTCTGTAGCATTATTGAAACATAAATGCATAAGCAAAAGTTTGAAAGTTGACTTGACTTAGAAGACTTGCAAAGATCATTATCAATCTGGTTGGAACTTGGAACCAATTATGAAGGTTAAAAATCACCAACCACTCCTCAATTTTGGCCTTAAAATCATTGGCTCAGACACTAACCTGTTGGCTTTCAAATTGACCGAGATGTGAGAATATAGTTTTGTCCAAACCTTTACAGCTTTACAAAGGTGCCTAAATTAAATCAGTTTGACCGAGATATGAGAATATAGTTTTGTCCAAACCATTACAGCTTTACAAAGGTGCCTAAATTAAATCAGGAGTTTTGAACAGGACTTGATCTTTGTGCTGATCCACTGGAACTGGATGGTTCTTATCAGTATGGCGTATGCGACACGGTTTTTTGATTTCCAAGCTAAGAAAATGCAGCATTTCATATGATTTACTCAGAAATGAAATTTTCTCATATTAATTTCTGGGGGAAGATTTACGTCAAACACAGTACTTGAAAGTTCAACATCAACCGGAACCAACCTTACCCAAGAGATTTCAAGGAATGATCATCATAACTAGTTAGAAAGGAGTTATTCTTCCTTAATAGAAGTGCTCTACATTTTTGTTTATGCTATAGTTTAAATTAAGAGCAATGCTGCGGTTATAAAAAATTGTATACCGATTTCATGCACGGACAGATGTGACACCATCCTCTCTTTTTTTTAAAAAAAATTCATAATTAATCGATGGTCATGATGGTGCCACATCTGTCGGTAAATGAATTCGGTATTTATTTTTTTGATAATTGTATCATTTTCCTTAAATTAAAACCTAATTTTTGACCTTTAACCATTGAACCATTCTAACAGTAAGTCCACCAGTTGATTTATTTCCAATGCTTGATTATGATTTATTTCCCGAAGTGAAATCTTTGTGTTATCTGTCATTCAATTACTAGTATAAAGTCTTTCTCAGGAAATTTCCTTCCTTGGACTTACTCAACAATCACTGTAACATACAAGGTCTATATATCATGTAACTTGTAAAATGTATTAGCCAGAAAAGGAATCAAGAGCTTTTGAAACTTCCACAGAGGATAATTTTCTGTTCAATCTTTCAAACACCACACGTATATTGAAGAAGAATTTTCCTCCGTGGAAGTTTTGAACAAGACTTGATCTTTGTGCTAGTCCACTGGAACTGGATGGTTGTCATCTGTATGGCGTATGCGACACGGTTTTCTGATTTCCAAGCTAAGAAAATTCAGCATTTCATATGATTTACTCAGAAATGAAATTTTCTCATATTAATTTCTGAGGGAAGATTTACAGCAAGCACAGTATAATAAACAACACATATTTTACCAAGTAATGAAATGTTTTACAAGGAACACCTAGTGTCCTTCAACTTTTGACATTCCCAGGGAGTGGAAGCTGCAGATTTCTTCCAGCTTCCAGCTTCGCTAGTAACTGCTAGGAAATGCAAGGATGCAAACTAGACCATCAGGTCATCAGAGATTTAATGCAGAACAAGCAATGAAGCATTTACTCGGACTAGAAGTTTCTTGAAAGTTCAACTTCAACCGGAGCCAACCTTACCCAAGGGATTTCAAGGAATGATCATCATAACTAGTTAGAAAGGAGTTATTCTTCCTTCATAGAAGTGCTCTACATTTTCGTTTATTCATTAAGCTACTCCGGAACACAACTTAAGATCGTTGCCAAAAACAGAAAGGCTTTTCTCACCTATTTACAGCAACTTGAAAAACACTATGAACAATAAGACATCCTGATAATAATTTAACTAATAAACTAGCACTCATCACTAATATTTGTAGGCAGCTGAAAGCATAGTTATTGCTACATATCACCTGTTTGAAGATCTGGCTTCTCATTTAGAGTTTGATGTTATTTTTACTAAAAACATAAGCATACCATTATAAGAGCTGAATGCTTTCAATTTTCAGAAATCATAGCAACTATAATACATTTATTTATTGAGTTCTCTTAGATAGTACTAACACAAAACTATAAAAAAACAATACAACGATCTAGCGGAAAAGAGTACAAGATCAACAACGGATAAATGACGTCTAGGAAGATTATACATTGGGTACACTATTGTACTGAGTACCTGATTGAAAGTGCTTCAGAAAAGCAATAAAAAGCTAATTTCAGCTTGTAATGTTGAATGGCCATGGACATGGCGGAAAAGGTACTTCAAGAACTCCATCAAGCATCTGTATAACCTTCCTCATCGTGGGGCGAAGAGACAGATCTTCTTGGATGCACCAAATTGCAACCATCACAAACCTCTGCAGCTTATTCATGTCACTGATGGCATCCGGATCATCTTCAACTAGAGTACTCAATCGTCTTTCCTGATAACAGTCATAAGCCCAATCAGTTAGAATTGCTTTATCAACTGTGCTCGCTTCCTTCTCGACACATCTTCGAAGGCAAATGATCTCCAGAAGCAGCACTCCGAAACTGTACACATCAACTTTTACAGTGACTGGCGTGTTCCTGAACCATTCTGGTGCAACATACCCTTTTGTTCCTCTGATGGCAGTACTAGTATGGCTCTGATTCAATGTCAAAAGCTTTGCCAATCCAAAGTCAGATATCCGAGCATTGTAATAATCATCAAGAAGTATGTTTTGAGGCTTTATATCGCAATGGATGATCTGGGTGCAGCACTCCTCATGAAGATACAATAGCCCTCTGGCAATGCCCATGGCAATATCGGTCCTCTGTTTCCAATTCGGTTTACAGTCTCCGAAGAGGAAGCTGGCCAAAGTACCATTACTCATAAACTCGTATACTATTAACCGGTTTTGTCCCTCATCACAGAATCCAAGAAGTCGAACCAGATTCTTGTGATGTGTCTGGCCAATTACATTCACTTCAGCTTTGAATTCCTTCTCACAATCTTGAAATACTCTATCTAACTTCTTCACTGCAACAAGATTATCAGGAGCAATATCCATGCACCCTTTGTAAACAGTACCAAAGGCCCCCCTTCCTAATTCTTCCTTGAATCCATGAGTGGCCTCTACAAGCTCGTTATAGGTAAAGCAGCACAAATTCATATGCGAAACACCTTTTTCCGGATGAGACCTCGTGAGTTTTCTTTGATTAACAACTAGAAGGCCAAGGCAACTAGCAGCAACTAATATCAAGTTGACAAACACAGAGCTGCCAAAGAGTACAGATCCCACCACAATGAATATATCCCTCCTCTTCTTTCCATTCGCTTCGCCTTTCCTAATTTTGATGAAAGTTGTCCCATTATCAGCAGGGTTCATTTTCCCATAGGAGAGTGGTAAATTCTTCTTTCAACAGCTATCAAATCTAATCCTAGATGCAGAACACAGGCAATCCTTTAAGCAAGACGATTCACACTCCTCTCTACTAGAAGGCTTAAGTTTCTCGTAGTCAGAAGTTGGCCAATCAGTACCTTTCAGCTCTTCCATATAGTATAGATCTTCTCCAGATTTCGCCCCATCTTCTTCACAGCCTTGGATGAAATCCGGCTTGCAGTTTCCGTATGTATCATCTGGATCAAACAAAGAAAACCCTTTTGGGCATGAACAGTTTGGTCTTTGCAATGAATTGAGAGTGCAGATGCTGTTATACCCACAAATTCCACTGCCTAATCGTTCACGAAGACCGCTGGTAAAACAGATGTTATCCGGCATGGTGCGAACAACTGACCAGATACCATTATTTCCATTGGTATTCTTGGAATGAGTATAGAGCACAAAAGAACCATCAAAATTGAGAGTTGCTCTGTGATAATTTTCTTGAGATGAGACTATTGTTCCAGGTGTGAGAAAAACTTTTTGATTGTTTTCCCTCACAACATACAAATAGCCTGATTCATTAAACACCACTTGGAGACCGGCATTTGACTTGTTTTGATCAAATGTATTGCTCCAAAAATAGGCATCATATGCGAAGCCACTAGGCAAGTTTATAGTATTCAGCACAGCATTTCCATCCTGGAGCAAACGAAATTGGAACCTTCCTCGAGAGAAATCAGTCTCCGATCGTTTGGAAGAAACCACTCCACCCCTTTCCATTTTCTGTGAAGGGAGCAAAGTATCAGCAGGATCATCAAAACTCTGCCATAACATTTCAGAATTTGCATCTGCCACCACAAAGTTGCCCGTATCATCAATAAAACCAAACGCAGCTGCACTCATAGTAATACCAGATTTCCATATCTCTTGGCCATCAGGGCCATCAAGCACCAATCCGCGGTCAGCAGTTAGCCCTAATCTTGATCCTCTTGGTGCAGGCTTATCAGCTGAAGCATACCAAACTATGGTTTTGCTTGGAATCTTGTAATACCAAATGGCAGGCAAGAAGAGATCCTTATTGTCAAGTTTGTGAAAACCAAAAGCAAAGTCCCTGGAAGGAGAAAGCCATGGCTGTGAATTATAAGCTGCAGTGATATACTGACCTACACTTATAGTTCCATTGTTTTGTGCAGTTGCTAAACATGGCAGCAGAAGCAAGGAAAGAACACAAAGCAGGTTAAAAGCCATTACTGAATATTGTTTTGGTTCTGATACATAGTTCTAGATGAAAATAATTTGTTTTTTGAAGGAAACATCTATAAAAGGAATGACACACACAAAGGTTCTTCGTTATGAAATTTCTATATTCACTCTTAATTAACTCCTTATATTCTTGCTCTATTGACGAACCCCTAACCTTGTTTTATGCTCGTAGGAACCGGATTATCAGAGACCAATGTTGGAAACTATAGGGATGTTGGAAAAGGAGCCTACAAGCTGCAAACACTAGACCCCACCATGTGAAATGAATTCAGAATTTGAGTTTAAATTCATGTCACTCCAGGAATTTGACCATTCTAACAGTAAGTCCACCAGTTGAATAAACTATGATTTATTTTCCGAAGTGAAATCATTGTGTTATCTGTCATTCAATTACTATTATAAAGTCTTTCTCAGGAAATTTCCTTCCTTGGACTTATTCAACAATCACTGTAACATAGTCGCTTCATACAAGGTCTATGTATCATGTAACTTGTAAAATGTATTTGCTAGAAAAGGAATCAAGAGCTTTTGAAACTTCCACAGAGGAAAATTTTCTGTTCAATCTTTCAAACACCACACATATATTGAAGAAGAATTTTCCTCTGTGGAAGTTTTGACTTTTGAACAGGACTTGATCTTTGTGCTAGTCCACTGAAACTGGATGGTTCTTATCTACATGGTGTATGCGACACGGTTTTTTTTATTTCCAAGCTAAGAAAATTCAGCATTCATATGATTTACTCAGAAATGAAATTTTCTCATATTAATTTCTGAGGGAAGATTTACATCAAGCACAGTATAATAAACGACACATATTTTACCAAGTAATGAAATGTTTTACAAGGAACACCTAGTGTCCTTGACATTCCCAGGGAGTTGAAGCTGCAGATTTCTTCCAGCTTCCAGCTTCGCTGGTAACTGCTAGGAAATGCAAGGATGCAAACTAGACCATCAGGTCATCAGAGATTTAATGCAGAACAAGCAATGAAGCATTTATTCGGACCAGAAGTTTCTTGAAAGTTCAACTTCAACCGGAGCCAACCTTACCCAAGGGATTTCAAGGAATGATCATCATAACTAGTTAGAAAGGAGTTATTCTTCCTTCATAGAAGTGCTCTACATTTTCGTTTATTCATTAAGCTACTCCGGAACACAACTTAAGATCGCTGCCAAAAACAGAAAGGCTTTTCTCACCTATTTACAGCAACTTGAAAAACACTATGAACAATAAGACATCCTGATAATAATTTAACTAATAAACTAGCACTCATCACTGATATTTGTAGGCAGCTGAAAGCATAGTTATTGCTACATATAACCTGTTTGAAGATCTGGCTTCTCATTTAGAGTTTGATGTTATTGTTGGTTCTTGGAAGAGAAGTCCAAAAATAAAAGGATGAATATTTGCAATGAAGGAGACGGCAAAAAGCACTTCTTAGTCTGTATGTTTCATTCATAAAACAGTCATTTATACAGACTTTTTAACACTGTATTACCTACTGCAATATAATAAACTTATTACAAATCAACTTTAGCAGCAAACATGCACCTAACCAAGTCTAAGTCTCAACTAAACAAGACACAAAATCTGCATTTAAATGGCTAAATATCTGCTCTATAACCACTGCAAACTTAACAAAATAAACATGAGCTGTAACTTTGGCTCCAAAACATATTTGAATATTCATCCGAAAGGTTGTCCAATTTCCAGCAGATTATCACCTACATCATCAGTTATTTTTACTAAAAACATAAGCATACCATTATAAGAGCTGAATGCTTTCAATTTTCAGAAATCATAGCAACTATAATACATTTATTTATTGAGTTCTCTTAGATAGTAATAACACAAAACTATAAAAAAACAATACAACGATCTAGCGGAAAAGAGTACAAGATCAACAACGGATAAATGACGTCTAGGAAGATTATACATTGGGTACACTATTGTACAGAGTACCTGATTGAAAGTGCTTCAGAAAAGCAATAAAAAGCTAATTTCAGCTTGTAATGTTGAATGGCCATGGACATGGCGGAAAAGGTACTTCAAGAACTCCATCAAGCATCTGTATAACCTTCCTCATCGTGGGGCGAAGAGACAGATCTTCTTGGATGCACCAAATTGCAACCATCACAAACCTCTGCAGCTTATTCATGTCACTGATGGCATCCGGATCATCTTCAACTAGAGTACTCAATCGTCTTTCCTGATAACAGTCATAAGCCCAATCAGTTAGAATTGCTTTATCAACTGTGCTCGCTTCCTTCTCGACACATCTTCGAAGGCAAATGATCTCCAGAAGCAGCACTCCGAAACTGTACACATCAACTTTTACAGTGACTGGCGTGTTCCTGAACCATTCTGGTGCAACATACCCTTTTGTTCCTCTGATGGCAGTACTAGTATGGCTCTGATTCAATGTCAAAAGCTTTGCCAATCCAAAGTCAGATATCCGAGCATTGTAATAATCATCAAGAAGTATGTTTTGAGGCTTTATATCGCAATGGATGATCTGGGTGCAGCACTCCTCATGAAGATACAATAGCCCTCTGGCAATGCCCATGGCAATATCGGTCCTCTGTTTCCAATTCGGTTTACAGTCTCCGAAGAGGAAGCTGGCCAAGGTACCATTACTCATGAATTCGTATACTATTAAACGGTTTTGTCCCTCGTCACAGAATCCAAGAAGTCGAACCAGATTCTTGTGATGTGTCTGGCCAATTACATTCACTTCAGCTTTGAATTCCTTCTCACAATCTTGAAATACTCTATCTAACTTCTTCACTGCAACAAGATTATTAGGAGCAATATCCATGAACCCTTTGTAAACAGTACCAAAGGCCCCCCTTCCCAATTCTTCCTTGAATCCATGAGTGGCCTCTACAAGCTCATTATAGGTAAAGCAGCGCAAATTCATATGCGAAACACCTTTTTCCGGATGAGGCCTCGTGAGTTTTCTCTGATTAACAACTAGAAGGCCAAGGCAACTAGCAGCAACTAAAATCAAGTTGACAAACACAGAGCTGCCAAAGAGTACAGATACCACCACGATGAATATATCCCTCTTCTTCTTTCCATTCGCTTCGCCTTTCCTAATTTTGATGAAAGCTGTCCCATTATCAGCAGGGTCCATTTTCCCATAAGAGAGTGGTAATTTCTTCTTCCAACAGGTATCAAGTCTAAACACAGATGCAGAACACAGGCAATCCTTTAAGCAAGACGATTCACACTCCTCTCTACTAGAAGGCTTAAGTTGCTCGTAGTCAGAAGTTGGCCAATCAGTACTTTTCAGCTCTTCAATATAGTATAGATCTTCTCCAGATTTGGCCCCATCTTCTTCACAGCCTTGGATGAAATCCGGCTTGCAGTTTCCGTAAGCATCATCTGGATCAAACAAAGAAAACCCTTTCGGGCATGAGCAGTTTGGTCTTTGCAATGAATTGAGAGTGCAGATGCTGTTATGCCCACAAATTCCACTGCCTAATCCTTTACGAATATCGTCGTTAACACAGATATTATCCGGCATAGTGCGAACAACTGACCAGATACCATTATTTCCATTGGTATTCTTGGGGTGAGTATAAAGCACAAAAGAACCATCAAAATTGAGAGTTGCTCTGTGATAATTTACGTGAGATGAGACCATCGTTCCGTGTGAGAGAAGAACACTTTGATTGTTTTCCCTTACAACATACAAGTAGCCTGATTCATTAAACACCACTTGGAAACCAGCATTTGACCTTTTTTGATCAAATGTATTGCTCCAAAAATAGGCATCATATGCGTAGCCACTAGGCAAGTTTATAGTACTCAGCACAGCATTTCCATCCTGGAGCAAACGAAATTGGAACCTTCCACGAGAGAAATCAGTCTCCGATCGTTTGGAAGAAACCACTCCACCCCTTTCCATTATCTGTGAAGGGAGCAAAGTATCAGCAGGAACATCAAAACTCTGCCATAACATCTCAGAATTTGCATCTGCCACCACAAAGTTGCCCGTATCATAAATAAAACCAAACGCAGGTGCACTCATAATAGTACCAGATTTCCATATCTGTTGGCCATCAGGGCCATCAAGCACCAATCCGCGGTCAGCAGTTAACCATAATCTTGATCCTCTCGGTGCAGGATTATCAGCTGAAGCATACCATACTATGGTTTTGCTTGGAATCTTGTAATACCAAATGGCAGGCAAGAAGAGATCCTTATTGTCAAGTTTGTGAAAACCAAAAGCAAAGTCCCTGGAAGGAGAAAGCCATGGCTGTGAATTATCTGCTGCAGTGATATACTGGCCTACACTTACAGTTCCATTGTCTTGTGCAGCTGCTAAGCAGAAGCAAGAACACAAAGCAGGTTAAAAGCCATTACTGAATATTGTTTTGGTTCTGATACATGGTACTAGAAGAACATAATTTGTTTTATGAAGGAAACATGCCATCTGTATAAGTAAATATGTGGGACAGATCCTAAACAAAAATGGTGGAATATTCAAAGTTTGAGACAGTGGGTGTAAACATTTTCAAGCAAAGTGACCCACAAGTTTTACTTTGGTGGCAGCTGGTTAAGAGAAGGAACAGTAGTGCACCGGAGATTTTTGGACCCCAAAATATATTAAAGAAAAACAGAATCAGAAATAGTTTGAAAAGTATAAAGGAATAAGACAGCAGAAAATCATTAAAGCACCTGAAAAAATATGATCGATCAAGGCTGTTCATGCAGTAGGCTTGCACAATATATTATGTTAAATTAATTATGCCACTATAATAAAAATCAGACTACTTCAGATGCTTTGAAACAATAGTAATTTTCCTTTTAATATAAAATCTCTTAGACCAAAGCACAAATTAATTTATAAGATCATAGATTGTATTAGATTCATATCATACTGGGAAAGTTTCACATTTAAGACCATGTCAAAGAAATGAGTTGTCACGACAACCATGTAACATGCATATATTAGTTGATTGGTTTGTCATAAGACTAAGGCACTGTATTGTATCAACCATCTCAATTTTGGGGCAATGAGAGGGTAGGGGTTGAGACTTATAGACGGGAAAAAAATAAATGTATAAGCAAAAGTTTCCAAGTCGACTTGACTTAGAAGACTTGCAAAGATCATAGATAATATTAGATTCATATCATATTGCCATGTCTGATTCTTCTTATCTGGTCTCGGCAAATCCGGAGCGCCTCTGGAAGGAGGATTACCTTTCCTGATTTTGATAAGAGCCTTGCCATTAAGAGTATTATCAAATCTGCCATTTGATAGTGGTAGCTTCTTCTTCCAACACATATCACCGGATCGAAAAATAGCAACAGCACACATACAATCCTGCAAGCAAGATTCTCTACACTGCTCTTCTATAAAAGGCTGCAAAAGTGCATAATCAGATGTTGGCCAATCAGTGTTTATGACCTCTTCAAAATCATATAAATCTGCTGGAGATCCCTCTTCATCACCTGCACAGCTCTGCGTGTAGTTGGGTTTGCAGTCACCATACTCATTGTTTGGATCAGATAAAAAGTACCCTTTTGGGCAGTCACAGATAGGCCTTTGGTCTCCAGGGTTCAGTCTACAAATGCTGTTAAACCCACAAGTGCCGCTACCAACTCCAGTAAAGCTCGCCTTGCAAATATTATCCGGTATGGACCAAAGAGCCGTCCAGCCTTCATTATTTGAATTCTTAGGATGCTGATACAGAGTAAAGACTCCATCAAAATTTATGGTCGCTCTGTAGTAAAAGCTCTTAGTTGAAGGGTTGATTGATCTGTTGGTTAGATAGTATCTTTGATCATTACTAAGCAATAAGTAGAAGTAGCCTGACTCATTGAAGACCACCCTTTCACCAGAAGAATTAGAAGCAGTAGTAGTTCCAGTGTCATAATAAGGATCATTAGTATTGTCAGTGGGCAGGTTTATAGTATTAAGAACAAGATTTCCCTCTGGTCTCATGCGCATTCGAAACCTTCCCTTGGAGAAATTAGTCTCTGACAGTTTAGAAGAAAGCAGCTCCCCCGATTCCAGTGTCTGTGAAGGCAACATAGTATCTGCAGGATTCCTGAAGCTCTCCCATGCCTTATCCGAATTGCTGTCAAAAAGCTCAAAGTTGCCTGTATTACTCATAACAGCAATTGCAACTGTACCACTAATGGATTCAGAATTCCATAATTCCTCGCCTTGAGGGCTTCGCAGAACCAGCCCACTAGCAGAAGTTAATTCTACTCTGGATCCTCTTGGTGCAGGCTTATCTCTATTTGCAAACCAAACTACGGTTTTGGAAGTTATTTTATCATACCATATACAGAGCAAAAGAGCTCGTTGTTGTTGCCAATAGGGCGAAAGCCGAAGGCAAAATCTCCAGACGGAGAAAGCCATGAAGATGAGTTTTCAGCTGCTGATAGAGAAGCTCCAATGGTTATGTTACCATTATTTTGAGCAACAGCCGAAAATATTTGCAGAAAAAGAAAGGAAAAGATCAAAAGAAGATTAACAGCCATTGCAAGAGCAAAAAAAAGTTAAATTTGATGCATCCACAAAGCCTGGAATGAAACAAATGAAGAAGTGAGGTTTGTAATCTAAGTCAAGCAAGTCTTCTTTGGTCTACTAGTACTGTTATAAATATAATTTTCAATTCTAAACAGTGAAAAAAACGTAATAAAAAGCATAAGATTCAGATCACTTTAAATTATTCCTGTACATTTGAGCATAGTTGGTCATATTACCTAGAACAGGATCATAAATTGGAAGGTCCAGGTTCTTCTTTGACTTGCAGGTTAGTGTCTCAATCTTGATCAACAAAATCACTCAAAAGTCATAAAAGGATGGCGTGGAAATTTCAAAATCATTGAAAATTGCAAAGATTAGAAAAAATCTTTGGTATTTGAACACGCGGCATCCAATAGTTCTTTCAAATAATGCACGTTACGTCCCAGTACTGTAGAGTAGCCCTAAAGTGAATTCACTTTTCAATAGAAGGATCGTTCTGGGGGATGAGGACAAATTCAATTGACAAAGTGATCAATGTCATATTAAAACATGCACTTCTGCAGGACCAAGTTGCCCTGAAAAATGTAAGGATTCACTACAATTCATGGCCTTTATCTTTCCAAGGTCATGGATTCTATAACACAGAGGGGGAATGACAATTTCCCACCCAAGGTAAGTTTAATGTTTCAAAAAAAATATTTCCCCGTAGTCAAATCTATTAATTAACATGGTACAATTACTATAAGGACGAAAATACCTTTTTTATTTAATTTGATAATTTTTTAATTATTATATGTTATATCAAAATCAATTATATATATAACATTCTTTAAATATAAAATTATAAATACGTCCTCAACTATATATAGGAATATAAATTATTAGTTTGTCCCCTCTCTTCCACTGTCAGCTCCACCTCCAACCTCACTTCCTCCCCCCAATTCCCACAACCACTTCCTCCATTTCCTTGCCCCCATCCCCACACCCACTTCCTCCACTTTCGCTCTCCTGAAATCATCGACGGCCTTGCAAGGTTGGATTGTGACCTTGCAAGGCCACGATGGTGGCCTTACGAGGCCGCTGTTGCGGCCGCAATTGTTGCTAAGCAAGGCCACCATAACCAATCTTTAGAGCCCATCCACACAAGCCAAACTTCAATTTTTCTCAACTCAATCAATAAAAAACAATCATCAAACGTCAAAGAATCAACCAGTCCAAAATAAAAAAAAAAAAAAAAAAAAAAAAAAGGCTTTGTTGATTGTTCTTCTCGGTCAAATGGGTTCGACTTGGTTTGGCCGAGTTTGACCACCATGGACTCCACCCCTACCAATCGTCGTATTCTTCACAAGTCCCTAAATCCCCTCTTCCAAGGCCTCCTCCTCTACCACCACCAAAGCCTACACCTCCACCTACACCTCCTCCAGCACCACCACCAACATAATTATTGACAATTTAGATGATCAGTGCCAGAATCGCAACCGACCTAGTGTAATCCGATGGCACTCCCAACCGCCCTAGTGTAATCCAGCTGGAATCGCACCCGGTCAAGTGTGATTCGGCCTTAGTTGCACCTTGCTAGGTGTGATTTGGCCTTAATCTCATCCTACTAGATGTGGCCGAATGGAGGAGAGAGACAGTGGGGATCCTCGCCCTCTCCAGTGACCTCGATGATGTCTGCCTCTTTCACAAAGTCATCGGCACCAAGCAACAAACCTCCGCATGCTCTACCGCCTCTTCCAAAATCTCCAACTTGTCCTTGTCAAACTCCAAGGGTTGTAAGGGCTGGGGGAGTGAGATTAGGTTAGATTGGGTGAGGTTAGGAACCGATGGTTTTGNTCACCAGAAGAATTAGAAGCAGTAGTAGTTCCAGTGTCATAATAAGGATCATTAGTATTGTCAGTGGGCAGGTTTATAGTATTAAGAACAAGATTTCCCTCTGGTCTCATGCGCATTCGAAACCTTCCCTTGGAGAAATTAGTCTCTGACAGTTTAGAAGAAAGCAGCTCCCCCGATTCCAGTGTCTGTGAAGGCAACATAGTATCTGCAGGATTCCTGAAGCTCTCCCATGCCTTATCCGAATTGCTGTCAAAAAGCTCAAAGTTGCCTGTATTACTCATAACAGCAATTGCAACTGTACCACTAATGGATTCAGAATTCCATAATTCCTCGCCTTGAGGGCTTCGCAGAACCAGCCCACTAGCAGAAGTTAATTCTACTCTGGATCCTCTTGGTGCAGGCTTATCTCTATTTGCAAACCAAACTACGGTTTTGGAAGGTATTTTATCATACCATATACAGAGCAAGAAGAGCTCGTTGTTGTTGCCAATAGGGCGAAAGCCGAAGGCAAAATCTCCAGACGGAGAAAGCCATGAAGATGAGTTTTCAGCTGCTGATAGAGAAGCTCCAATGGTTATGTTACCATTATTTTGAGCAACAGCCGAAAATATTTGCAGAAAAAGAAAGGAAAAGATCAAAAGAAGATTAACAGCCATTGCAAGAGCAAAAAAAAGTTAAATTTGATGCATCCACAAAGCCTGGAATGAAACAAATGAAGAAGTGAAGTTTGTAATCTAAGTCAAGCAAGTCTTCTTTGGTCTACTAGTACTGTTATAAATAGAATTTTCAATTCTAAACAGTGAAAAAAACGTAATAAAAAGCATAAGATTCAGATCACTTTAAATTATTCCTGTACATTTGAGCATAGTTGGTCATATTAACTAGAACAGGATCATAAATTGGAAGGTCCAGGTTCTTCTTTGAATTGCAGGTTAGTGTCTGAATCTTGATCAACAAAATCACTCAAAAGTCATAAAAGGATGGCGTGGAAATTTCAAAATCATTGAAAATTGCAAAGATTAGAAAAAATCTTTGGTATTTGAACACGCGGCATCCAATAGTTCTTTCAAATAATGCACGTTACGTCCCAGTACTGTAGAGTAGCCCTAAAGTGAATTCACTTTTCAATAGAAGGATCGTTCTGGGGGATGAGGACAAATTCAATTGACAAAGTGATCAATGTCATATTAAAACATGCACTACTGCAGGACCAAGTTGCCCTGAAAAATGTAAGGATTCACTACAATTCATGGCCTTTATCTTTCCAAGGTCATGGATTCAATAACACAGAGGGGGAATGACAATTTCCCACCCAAGGTAAGTTTAATGTTTCAAAAAAAATATTTCCCACCCACCCTTAGTCAAATCTATTAATTGACATGGTACAATTACTATAAGGACGAAAATATCTTTTATTATTTAATTTGATAATTTTTTAATTATTATATGTTATATCAGAATCAATTATTTATATAACATTCTTTAAATATAAAATTATAAATATGCCCTCAACTATATATAGGAATATAAATTATTAGTTTGTCCCCTCTCTTCCACTGTCAGCTCCACCTCCAACCTCACTTCCTGGGTCCCAGTTCCACAACCATTCCTCCATTTCCTGCCCCATCCCCACACCCACTCCACTTTCGCTCTCCCGAAATCGTCGACGCCTTGCAAGGTTCGATTGTGGATTGTGACCTTCTGCAAGGCCACGATGGTGGCTTACGAGGCCGCTTTTGCGGCCGCAATTGTTGCTAAGCAAGGCCACCATAACCAATTCAGAGCCCAACCACCAAGCCAAACTTCAATTTTTCAACTCAATCAATAAAAAACAATCATCAAACGTCAAAGAATCAACCAGTCAAAATCAAAATTACAAAAAAAAAAAAAAAAAAAAAAAAAAAAAAAAAAAAAAAAGCTTTGTTGATGTTCTTCTCGGTCAAATGGGTTCGACTTGGTTTGGCCGAGTTTGACCACCATGGACTCCACCCCTACCAATCGTCGTATTCTTCACAAGTCCCTAAATCCCCTCTTCCAAGGCCTCCTCCTCTACCACCACCAAAGCCTACACCTCCACCTACACCTCCTCCAGCACCACCACCAACATAATTATTGACAATTTAGATGATCAGTGCCAGAATCGCAACCGACCTAGTGTAATCCGATGGCACTCCCAACCGCCCTAGTGTAATCCAGCTGGAATCGCACCCGGTCAAGTGTGATTCGGCCTTAGTTGCACCTTGCTAGGTGTGATTTGGCCTTAATCTCATCCTACTAGATGTGGCCGAATGGAGGAGAGAGACAGTGGGGATCCTCGCCCTCTCCAGTGACCTCGATGATGTCTGCCTCTTTCACAAAGTCATCGGCACCAAGCAACAAACCTCCGCATGCTCTACCGCCTCTTCCAAAATCTCCAACTTGTCCTTGTCAAACTCCAAGGGTTGTAAGGGCTGGGGGAGTGAGATTAGGTTAGATTGGGTGAGGTTAGGAACCGATGGTTGTGGGGGGAAGGAGAGGTGGGGAGGCCGAAGGAAGGAGACATAGAAATTAGGGAATTTTTTATATTTTTTTAATAAAAAAACTAAAGTTATCATTATGTCCTTCTTCAATTAAAGATAATAGACATTTCTTAACGATGGATGAAAAATTGTTTTTTTAAACATTTCAGGTGGGAAAACTTACTTACGCCCTACCTTGGGTGTGAAATTGTCATTCTCCCGTAACACAGATAACATAAGACATCACATGAGACATAGACCTTGTAATTACTAGTTCTCTGTTACTAGCTATTATCCTTGCATAGAAGAAAATTCTACAAATATAATCATGTAAAGGCCTTGTGATTTCCAACTATGCATTACACAAATAGCTGTAAAAGACAAGACCTATATATATAGAGTGGCAATAGATGAAAGAAAATGAGAGTGGGGTGAGGTCCATTTTAATTAAAGATTTTCCATATGGGACCTTATAGAAAATGAAAGGCACCAAGAAATGGGTAGAAACAAATCTAAGTTGAAAGACAAGAATCTTTACATGTAATTAATGAACAGAGACTCCACATGTACTTTCATTACTAGTTTTATGGTGTAATGTATGAAACATGAGTAAATAAAGGAGAGGTAATTAGTTTTTTCTCTAGTTCATTGTTTCAAATAGCCTTTTGAGAAATTTCATCGACGTCCAATGTTTTCAACAATTATAAAAAAATTCACTCTAAGATTATAAACCTAGTGTTATGCCTAAAAAGTCATGCTTATTTCAACCCAATAAATGTCTTTTTGTATTAGCTGCCAAGCCCATATGTCCTCAAAGATATTCATACTAACCCTATCTCATTTCAAGAGATGAATGGACGAGAGTCTTCCATGTGTCAAGGCAACTTGCAAAACACTCATTACATTGAGTGCAGAGGTGTATAAATTGGCACTTCTCTTCTCGAAAAAGGAGGCTGGGCATATGAGAGCTAGGCATAGATTTGAGCTCAATTCTTTCTCTCTGTAAACACTGTATTTCTTCATCTTTGTATGCCTTACGGGCAATATCATAGAAATAGTCAGAGATCAATAAAATAACAGTGGAGGTAAGAATCTCTTGTTTGAGTATCCGAAACCACTATAAAAACCTCTCTTGTTAGCCTATTATTTATGTTTTCTGCAACATATATAATCTCAACTCCATATCCAAATCTCATGGATCCATCACGTGTAATTTCTAAGACCCTCTTAGCACTTTGCACGTGCGAGTCGTTGGCGTCCAAAATCAAGCGTCAACAGTTTGGTGGCCCATGCAGGTCTCAAACCTGCGTTCAAGCTCCCAGATGGCGTGTTTAGATCGCATCAGAATTCTTCGATCGCGTGGCTGAATCATAGATCGCACACATCAGAATTCTTCAATCGCGTGGCCAGATCATAGATCGCACGAATCAAAATTCTTCGATCGCGTGGCTGGATCGTAGATCGTACGCATCAGAATTCTTCGATCGCGTGGCCGGATCACAGATCGCACGCATCAAAATTCTTAGATCGCGTGGCTGGATCGCAGATCGCACATGTCAGAATTCTCGAATCTCGTGGTCAAATCGCAGATCGCACACTCAGATCGTCTTGATCTTTAGCTTCAAATCGCATGTTCAGATCGCTAATCTCTTGCTCTTAGGTCGATCTCTCAGATTGAGCTCGTTATGCTCTCAGGTCGAGCTCGTTTTGCTCTCAAGTAGAGTTCGTTATGCTCTAAGGTCCAGGTCGTTATGCTCTAAGGTCGAGCTCGCTATGCTCTCAGGCTGAGCTCGTTATGCTCTGAGGCTGAGCTCGTTATGACCTCAGGTCGAGCTCGTTATGCTCTCAAGTAGAGCTTGTTATGCTCTCAGGTCGAGCTCTTTATGTTTCAGGTCGAGCTCCTATCAGATTGCGATCAGCTCCTAGCTCTCAGCACTCGATCACACCAGGAATAGTTCGAGCTATTCGATTCAAGACTGCAGCCTATAGTGCAATAGCCGTTCAGATCAAAGACTTTAGTTTCTGAAGCACGATTACGTACTCTAAAAACTGGGGGGCTTCTGTTATGCCTAAAAAGTCACGCTTATGTCAGCCCAATAAATGTCTTTTTGTACTAGCTGCCAAGCTCATATCTCCTCAAAGATATTCATACCAACCCTATCTCATTTCAAGAGATGAATGGACGAGAGTCTTCCATGTGTCAAGGCAACTTGCAAAACACTCATTACATTGAGTGCAGAGGTGTATAAATTGGCACTTCTCTTCCCGAAAAGGGAGGCTAGGCATATGAGAGCTAGGCATAGATTTGAGCTCAATTCTTTCTCTCTGTAAACACTGTATTTCTTTATCTTTGTATGCCTTACGGGCAATATCATAGAAATAGTCAGAGATCAATAAAATAACAGTGAATGTAGGAGTCGCTTGTTTGAGCATCCGAACCACTATTAAAACCTCTCTTGTTAGCCTATTGTTTATGTTTTCTGCAACATATATAATCTCAGCTCCATATCCAAATCTCATGGATCCATCACGTGTAATTTCTAAGACCCTCTTAACACTTTGCACGTACAAGTCGTTGGCGTCCAAAATCAAGCGTCAACACCTAGAAATCCATATACTATTCTTACATGGCTTTTACCAATCAACTCAACTCAACCTTTAGGTTACTTCAAAGTTCAAACATCTACTAATGTAACCAAGAAACCATGAAAACCATCCCTTAATAGAATAGGGAGTAGTAACAATCAGATTGTTATCAATGTTGATATAGAACAAAGCTGGCATAACGGAAGAGTTTCGTTAGAAGCAAATGCTACCAAACAGAATATTTGCACTAGCGAAATAACCTTATGTTATTCCAAACAAGAGTGTAGGGAAGAAATAGACACAATTGTTTATTCAAATAAGGAATTCCTATTATATAGCTCTCAAGAACTATTTATAATCATGACTCTAACTACTTGATAATAATAAAAGTTAAAATAGTCATACTCCAGCTGCTTGATAATGATAAAAAAATGAAAATGATAGTGTAGAATAAAATTTAAAATGAAAGAAAAGCTATCCCATGCCACGTTGGTGTTTATCAGTTACCCCATGCTACTTTGGTGTTGCTTGTCTCCTGCTATTCTATCCCATGCTACATCAAAAGCACATAAAATAAATATGTTCTAGATCCTAGGTAGTCTTATACATATAGGATTAGATTAAGGAAAATCTTTTATACGACTATAATCAAAATCAAACTATGTTGAACTTTTTTACGTGAGTCTTCTTTCTTTCTTAACTGATCTTGGATTCAAAATCATATTGGAAAACTTTTCCAAAATCATATTGGATTCAAAATCCAAGAACTTGTACAAAAGAAAATATTAGTCTTAGCTACTACTGAAATTTGAAATTTTGATTACACCAAAAAAGGGAATAAGAGTAAGTTATTTAGACCACTAAAGCTCAAAAATGAACTCGACTTTTCAAAGAAAAAATTAGTTAGGAGGAGGATGAAAGCAAATTCCATTTGACAAGTGATCAACGTAAAGTAATAGATGTACCTTAACAGGACCAAGCGTAAAGGTCTTCTATTCATGAATCATTCGTTAAACACCACTTTGGTGTTTAAGTACTTATTTTAACGTGCAGTAGAATATTACCAAGTTGATTAAGAGATTTTCAGTTTTTAACCATAACAAACATAAGTGTAGAGAGTAAAGAACATAGTCATATACATGGTTCGGTTAAATCCACTTTTAGCCTACATCCATGTGACCTCATCCAGATCGAAGCAAATCCACTAATTAACAAACATTACAAAATATAGTTCAAAGTTGATCTAAGATACAATAAAAAGAACTCTATGTTCAACTTTACACTTAGCACCACACTCTGAATCTCTAATGTCTTATTGCACCACGGATCTCTTCACACCAACTTCACTCTTGGAAAACGCTTGAGCTCCACCCAAGCTTCAGTTGCTGAAGACACGCTCCAGCATCAAAAAAGGAACCACGTTCCAACCGCCATTCAACAAGGAAGATAAATAAGAAAGTTTCTAGTACAAACTCATATAAAAAAACCTAACCAAGAACAACTCTTTGAAAAGTTCAGAGCACCAACAAAATACATAATCAGGTTCAAAAAGAAAAAAAACAAGGAAGAAGATGAACTTCATTTCAACTCAACAAAGATGAAGGATGATAAGTATTTAGCACAATAACATATAGGAGAACCTTTAAGGAAAAAACTCTCTAAAAGTTTCAGAGCACAAGGCAAAAACAAACATAAAGGTTAGTTCACAAATGAGCAAAAATGAAGAAGATATAGACCAATTCCGTGCTTCCCAATTCTTGCCAAGTCAGCAAACAAGGGCTGACACATGTTGGTCCAAAATGGAAATGTTTTCAGCATTAGTTTAGGACCACAACCAAAAGGGGAAAAATGATGATTTTTCCTGGACCACTAAAGGATATTGGGACACCTGTAAGTGGTCCAAATGACAACACAAAAGATGCAAAGAAAATATCTTAGCTGTTAACTATAAAAACGCAACTTATGAAAAATGAGTCAGACATGCGATGTTAGCATAGTAGAAAGGTGTGCGCACACACAAAGTAAAATGCAAAACGAAATGTAGCATGCATATGTCTAACATAAGTGTGCAAGCACACATCCATTGTGCACACACACAAAATGAAAATATAAAAGGCATAAGCCTGACAATTGAACACGTAGATGACAAAAAGAATTCTAACTTTTTGTTGAACCACAAACATATCTTTTCTCTTTCTTACGGGATCACAGACAAAGCCTTGTAACATTTTAGGACCACATAATGAAGACATGTAAAGGTATGTCACACAAGAATATTATGAATCAAAATAAATTTGATGGGCAAGACAACAAAGAGAAAATACCACTTGATAAAATGTGTCACTATAACATAAGTTTGACAAAAATATCAACCATCTATATTTTTCTGAAGAAAGATTTTCTACATGTTCGTGTAACTATCAGATTTTTAATAAAGGCAGACAATCTATTCAGTTGTCAGTTAAAATACACAAGTAAAAGATTCATGGTGGTTGTGCTTTCTCATCCAAAGTTGAATAGAATGTCCTATCAAAATCCATAATGCTCAACTTTTTCGGTGCTCAGCTTCAAAATTCAATTCTCTGAAACATTCTCTTTTCTAGAAATTTCCAAGTCACGTTCTTCTCTAAATCCAAGTTCAACCAAATACTGTTTTGCCATTAAGTTTCTGCATAATACCAATGAAAGGTTATTGAAGAATTCTTTTATTTCAAAAGGTATGCTTTGGTTAGGCAAATGTATTATTCTTATTATGCAGATGAGAAAAAAAGAAAAATTACAAAAATCACCCACAAACCATACAAATTAGCTATTGAAGATCCCACATCGATTAGGCATGCTTAAGCAAATGGGTTTATAAGAGTGTGCAATCTTCCCACTCAATAAAGCCTTTTGAGTGAGGAGTTAGGTCAAAAAACCAACAAGTGGTATTAGAGTCAGCCCCATTTGAGCTGAGTGATTGACTAGCGGTGGGTTGCCAAACTACCTCCATTCATAGGCAAATGGACCATATAGGCTTGACCGTGAGAGGGAGTGTTGGAGATCTTATATCGACTAGGCACATTCAAGCCAATGGGTTTATAAGATTAGGCAATTCTCCAACTCAATAAGGCATTTTGGGTGAGGAGTTAGGCCCAAAAACCAACATTAGCTTTCTCACTAAACCTTTGATTAGTGGTTCTTACTTTCTAATAGTGGTTGTCTTCCATTGTATTTAATTGGCTAGTCCTAGAATTTAACCTCTTTTCTATAAGTATTACATGGGATATTATTGTTAATATGACTCAAATCTCATATCCTAATAAAAAATTTATTTTAATTTTATACAATTGTATTCATAAAGAAAACATTTTCTACGTAAAAACATATTAAAAAAACTCATGTCCTAATACAATACTAATTTGGATTAAATTTGACTCAACAACCTTAACAAGAAGAGGATAGAGGTGAGAATTCTAGAGAGGAAAAAAATAAATGTATAAGCAAAAGTTTTCAAGTCGACTTGACTTAGAAGACTTGCAAGATCACAGATAATATTAAATTCATATCATATTGGAAAAAAATTGTATGTGAGACCATGACAAAGATATTAGTTGCCATGAGAACCATGGAAATGAAAAGTAATCCCACGTGCATGAGAAAATGAGAAGCTACTCCAAATAGCAACAAGAGGTATCTCATCAACGATTCAATAAACCAATATATTTAAGTCCCGTATGCATTATTTTCCTCATCAATTCCAACAGTCAATATGATTAACGGTTCTTAAAATGAATATGTGTGTAACATGCATTATCAGTTCATTGTACTGTATCAATCACTTTGAATTTTGGGGCAAGCAGAGAGGAAAAAATAAATGCATAAACAAAAGTTTGAAAGTTGACTTGACTTAGAAGACTTGCAAAGATGACTATCAATCTGGTTGGAACCAATTATGAAGGGTAAAAATCACAAACTACTCCTCAATTTTGGCCTTAAAATCACTGGCTCAGACACAACCTATTGGCTTTCAAATTGACAGAGATATGAGAATATAGTTTTGTCTAAACCATTACACCTTTACAGTTTATCTCTGCGGCCAAGCGCCCACTGAAAATAATGGTTGCCAAAATTGTATAGGAAGAAAAAGATTTTGGTCTCCACAATAATGAAAGCCTATCTTCAATATCAGCTTGTGGCTCTCCTACTAGGCACCTTTAAAGACAGATTGACAAGTCCCTGTTGAGAAGTGCCAGTCATGGCCAGGCCAAGTAGCCAGTATTCATTTCAATTTTGCTTTTAACATTGTAATTATTTTTGCGATGTCTGCTTATGTTAGTTTTCTATTTAAATGGGGGAATTCTTATCACTTCAAATTACCAGAATCCACTTCTTATAGTAACAAATTCATAACCCATAAGACAAGTAATTGCAATGACAAGTATATGGTCACAGGAATTTCAATCTACAACAGAGAAGCACACTACAGACAAAACTATATGCACCGACGCCAACCCTAACACCGGTGCAGTTCTAGTACATCAACGCCACCATGGTGTTAGGGTACATATACTATACCTCAACACCGCTGGCATTGGCATAGTGATATTCCTACTACTTAGGCACAATGCATACGAGAAATACCGACACCCTGGCCTCGGGCCATAAAGGTTTGCCATACAAAGCTGCTATAACAAAGAGCTAAACTTAGACATAAAAACACACAATATTTAAAAGAAAGAACAAGGAAATAAAACCACTCACTCTCAAGGAAAATTACATAACTTTTAACATTGATAATAAAGCTGGATCTCTTATTCAACCCCGAACTTCTTTTTGAGCTCTAAAACAACTTCATAAACCTTGTGTTGATCACATAGAGACTTGGAAACACTGGTCTTTTGCATGCATCTCTTAGCCCAAGAGACAAGCTTTGGACACTCAGCTTCAAAGCTGAAATTTCCAAGCGTCTCAAATGTATGAAAAAAGCTGTAGTAGGGAATGATGGCCACATCTACAAAGCCAAAGGTGTCGCCCCCATAATTGTTGGAGATCCCATATCGACTAGGCACACTCAAGCCAATGGGTTTATAAGAGTGGGCAATCTTCCCACTGAATAAGGCTTTTTGGGTGAGGAGTTAGGCCCAACTCCAACAGTGGTATCAGAGCCAGCCCCATGTGAGCTGAGTGATTGACCAGAGGTAGGCTGTCAAACTACCTACATTCATAGGCAAGTGGACCATATGGGCTTGATCGTGAGGGGGAGTGTTGGAGATCCCATATCAACTAAGCACACTCAAGCCAATGGGTTTATAAGAGTGGGCAATCCTCCCACTCAATAAGGCATTTTGGGTGAGGAGTTAGGCCCAACTCCAACAATAATAAGGCTTGTCTCCAAGCTCTCCTTCCAGCACTTTGAATATCTCTATGAGTTCCTTTTTTGATGCTTCCTTCACTTCATGATCTGATGATGTCCCCAACATCCTTCCAGCAGGATAGATCTGCATTCATAATACCCAATTGTCAGAATATTTAAAGAAGATGTAAAATCATATAATAATTTGGAATATTTTGTCATAGCCTTTTCTTTGTCTATTCTTCTCGCTATAAACCTCCCTTGTATACTACTCGAGGGCTAAGGAGAAATATCGGTATTCCTCCGACGCCATCTGCCTGCGTTGGAGGAAAACTGTTACCCCGATGCAGGTATCAACCTCATACGCCGTTGCCCTGTATGGCCTCCGCCTATGGAGAAATACCAATATTCATCTGGCACATTTTGTCTGCGCTAGGTCCCAGCATCTGGTTTGGCGTCAGTGTATTTAAGAGTGCACCGATGCCAGGTCACGGCGTCGGGCTTGGCATCGGTGCATATAGGTCTTTTTGGTGGTTCTTACTAAATAATTTATGAGAACAAAGGAAATTTTGCTAACCTTCTTGTCGATGTAATCACCCCAAAATCTAGCATGAGCTCGGAGGCAAGGATGAGAAGGCAGCAATGGAGATTTATGATTCCAAACCTCGTCTATGTACTCAACTATGACGAGAGATTCACAAATGGGTTTACCCTTATGAATCAAAACTGGGATTTGCTTGTTCACAGGATTCATTTTAAGAAGCAAAGGACTCTTGTTGCTCAAATCTTCTTCTCTTGATTCAAACTCAACTTCTTTCTCTGCCAAAGCTATCCTCACTCTCGTTGCAAAAGGACTATGCAACAAATCCAGTAAAACTACTTCACTTGCCATTGTTACACAAATCTAATAACACGATACTTATAGAACTGAATGAAATTAACTAAGGCAAAAACCAGTATTTATAGTCGAAGTTGCTGGCAAGCCATGGTTCCAAACAATGATCTCTGATAGTGATTATACCGAACTTGAAAGCTTCTCAAAGTGGCTAAGTATTTATTTTGTTTTGGCACTATTATGAATGATTTTAAGTTTAAACTTTCAATTCATTGTTGCCTCTTACATTTTTATTTGTGATGGATTAGATTGATATAAATGACTTCATTTTGCTGCTTATTCTTTTCGAATTTGGGAGGAAAATGATTCTGCCTCTGAATGTATCACAATCACAGTTATTTCAAAATTACCTCTATAAAGACAGATTATTACATAATTCAGGAGAAATGTAAGATTCTTCTCTTTTTCTCATGATCGATTAAACGATATATGAGCGACCACATATATCTCTTAAGCGACTAACATTTTTCCCCAAATGATCGCTTAAGAGATCTTTACTAGCTTAAGCGACCAAGTTTGAAAAAGAAGAATCGCTTAAGAGATACAATGGATCGCTTAAGCGATTCTTCATCTGGGCAGATGCTCGGAAGTGATCATGATTAAAAGCGATTCATCGCTTAAGCGATCCTGTAGGATCGTTTAAGCGATCACAAAACTGGGCAGATCTGATTCTGCCCAGTAAGAGATCGTTTAAGCGATCCAAGATCGATTAAGCAACCAAGAGTTAAAGCAATTATCGCTTAAGCGATCCAAGTGGATCGCTTAAGAGATCATAGATCTTGGCAGATTTGATTCTGCCCAGTATGAGATCGCTTAAGCGATCTAAAATCGCTTAAGCGACCAAGAGTAAAAGCAATTCATCACTTAAGCAATCACGGAGGATCGCTTAAGAGATCCTAGATATGGGCAGATTTGATTCTACCTCGGAAGAGATCGCTTAAGCGACCAATAGTAAAAGCGATTCATCTCTTAAGAGATCCCAGAGGATCGCTTAAGAGATCCTAGATCTGGGCAGATTTGATTCTACCTGAGAAGAGATCGCTTAAGCAATCTTAAATCGCGTAAGCGACCAAGAGTCGTCGGGATGTGTGACAACGGCCTACAAACGTCCCATCGGTGGCAATTCACCGATGTGGCTTTTTTTCACTAGATCGATGCTGGATCTCGCCGGAAAAGGCCACATGTGGCCATCATGGACGGCCAAAGGAAAGGCCACAATGACGGCCACATCTGGCCTTAAAATACCAGATCTACGGCAGATCTTGCCGTAGATCTAGTCTTTTTTGGGCAACATCCGTGGTCGATGTGACCGGTGTGCGTCATAACGCACTTTTCTGGCTAGATGCCGGCGTCGATATGGCCTTTTCCGACGGTGATATTTTGGTAGGTGGGGGTGTATTTGTTAAATTTTAAAATTACTCCGGGGGGTATTTGATTATTAATAAACTTAAGAGGCTAAAAGTAATTAAAAATATAAGCTAATATTTCTAAATAATTAAACAAACAAACATTTCTGAAATATGGATACGAATATTTAACCAAACGCACCCTTTATGTTATGAAGAATGAAGGATAAGATTTGTTTACTATTTATGATATCGCATACACCCTAAAGGCATTTTGTTGCTCGAAGTTTTAACATCTTTATGCTCGGAGAAAAGAAGAACCATATTTGGTCCGAGAACTTGCATGGTTACCTAGTTCTCTTGAACCCTATATATTTAATATAGACGGCCACATTCTACACCATATATGTTTGATATAGATGTAAAAGAACTAAATGTTTAATTAAAATATAATAACGGTCATATTCCATTGAATGAATCGTACACCTCAACCCTAAAGCCATTTTATTGAAGCCAGCTCTAACTCTGCAAAACCATCTGCACAAGCAAAAACTGTCTTCTTCTTTATCCATATCTCAACCAGCTGACGTGCACAGGTTAGGATCCATTAAAATATAAAATGGGTTAAAATAAAAAGATTAAAACATATAAGGACAAAATCATAATTAATGAAAGTTTTTAAAATTTGAAAATTTGAAAAAAAGCCCCAATATTCAAATCGCTTAATCGAAACCAATAAGGCAAAAATCGATATCTTCAATCCCTAAACGCATCTGTGCAATTTCGGCGATAACAGTCCACTTCCTACAAATTTTCAAACCCAAATTCAATCCCTAAAGCTTCTTCCTTTCTTAAAACAATGGCTGACATTCACAATGACGAAGAGAAACCCAACGCCTCTTCGAATCGTAGAGGTCCGGCGGCGCAAGCAGTTCAATGGCTGCTCCGTGGAGGTTTCGATCAGTGAAGGTGTTCCAGCAGCGGAGATGACGGCGGCACAACAAGAGATAGAACAGGAGCAAAACGGTTCTGGGAGGAAGAGGAGGCCGGCCAGAATTCAGGCGAGGAAGAGGGTCCCGCGAGAGTTCAGACGAGGAGGAGAAGGCCGTCGAAGAAAAGGTATCGGTACTGTCGTTAAGCGATGTAGGATCGCTTAAGCGATAATGTCCAAAGCATACTGAACATCTGATAAGAACTAAGCGCTTAAGCGATCCTTTGTATCGCTTAAGAGATTGATGGCTTTTACTCTTGGTCGCTTAAGCAATTTAGGATCACTTAAGAGTAAAAGCAATGAATCGCTTAAGCGATCTTAGATCTGGCAGATGCTGATTTGCCTCATAGAAGATCTCTTAAGCGATCTGTAATCACTTAAGAGTAAAAGAGTTGAATTTTGAAGCGATACCTGTAGCGCTTAAGTGATCTTAGAACTGGCAGATGTGATTCGGCCTCGTAGATCTCTTAAGTGATCTGTAATCGCTTAAGCGACCCAAAGTAAAAGGATTAATCCTTTTACTCTGGGTCGCTTAAGAGTAAAAGAGTTGAATCACTTAAGCGATACAAAAGCGATCTAGACTGGCAGATAATTCTGCCGTAGAAGATCTCTTAAGCGATCTGTAATCGCTTAAGCGATCCAGAGTAAAAACGATCATCCCTTTTACTGTAGGTCGCTTAAGCGTTATAGGGTCGCTTAAAATAAAAGCGATGAATTGCTTAAGCGATACAAATGTTGATTCTACCTGTGCAAGATCGCTTAAGCGATCTGAAACGCTTAAGCGATCTTGCACGAAGCAGAATCATCTGCCCATCGCTTAAGCGATTCTTCCGGAGCGGATTTTGTCTATATTGATTTGGTTAATTTTTTTTGGTGATATTCTGTTTATATTGATTATGCAAAATTTTCGGAGCATAAAACTTCAGAGAGTATGGGTTGGAGTGTGTAAGCGATACAGTACCGTATTTCCCTGTGCGGGTGACAGTGAGGTCAAGTTAATGTGTTTTAATGAGAATAATGGGGATTTTATAGACACTGAGGAATGGTGAAAGGAGATTCAAAGAGACTTGTTTCAATCAATTTGGGATATGGACACAAAATGGAAAAAGACATTCTGGGGGTCGGGAGTGCATTATATGTTGCGCACTCAATAAAAAGCAACAAAAAGTACGAAATGTGGTTCGTGGTGGATGGAAAGCCACTACGTTTCGGGATGATGGAATATGCATTGGTGACTGGCTTAAGATGTGGGGAATTGCCAGGTGAGGTTAAGGAAAGAATAAAGGACAGTCCGGCAGCCAAAAGGTGGCTAACAAGGTTTTGCGGGGAACACGTCTATTAAGGCTTAGGAATTAAAGGAAAGGTTAATAAATGATGGTTTAACTATTCAGAGACGTTCAAACTGTGCTTGGTTTTGTCTTTCATTCAATCCTAATGGCTGGTAACTCAACAAAAGCCATGATATTGATTGGGTGATGTTTGTAAGCACTTGAATTTCTTTAATGCGTTATCCATGGTGACAACTATCATTTAAGCAAAAACATGGAGTCCTACAAGCAAAAGACTGGCGTCAAAGCACTCCCAATGGACGAAGAAGGGTAGAAAGGCCACGTACAATTGTTTGGCTTCTCGTGGGCAATGCAGGTAAATATAATAGCTTTTTGTTTATTTTTTTTAATATATGTGTTGAATTATGATATGGACTGTTTTTTACAATGTAGGCTTGGATGTTTGAGGCCATCCCTGTCCTGGCTAAGACAGGGGGGGGATTAGGTCTTTTCGGTATGCAACAGACATTTCCTAGGATGTTGCAGTGGCAGGACCAGAAGTGTACCCATTGGGATTTTAAGCAAATAGAGATTGAAATTCAATCAGCTCGGGTAAGATTAAAGGATTAAGCTTTTGAATATGCACTTGCTTTAAAATGTCGCTTAAATCTAATTGATTTTGTTTCTTATTGCGAGGGGGTTGTCCGTCCCTTCCTCACCGCTACTAGGGGTGAAGCGCAACAGGCTATGTCACATCTTTCCGAGCACTGGAGGATGAAATGGATGAAGGGATAAACCCCTGACGTGGGAGCTACAAGGGGTCACACTGTGAGGGCAGTTGCAGGGCCATGCTTGAGAATGTGGTTGACGCCGAGGAGGATGAAGCAGGAATCGGCGGGAGGGAGGAACAGGTTCGTATGCCTCAGCAAACTGGTACAAAAAGTACCGCTTTGCCGAGGCGTGCGGGTCGAGAGAGTGAGGTGGTTGACCTCTATAACAGTTTGTTTGATAGTTTTACAATAGCTGTTATGGCAGGTTAATAGGATGGAAGAGCAGTTAAAAATGGTCGAAGAGAAAGTGGATAAGTGGGAGAGAAAGTTGTTAGGGTCGAGGAGGAAGTTGGTGGAGTATTGAAGGCAGTTGAAGTGCAACCTGGGCTGAGAAAAGAGAGCTAAAAGAGAAAGTTTTTGAAATCGCCTTACACCATACTAACACGTGGAATTAAGAGGAAAACAAAGAAACAAAGTGAGGAAGAAGCCAAAATTGAGGAGGTTGCTGGAGGCAGTGGGGTAGTTATAATGGAGGAGATTGAGGCGTGAGGCGAAGGAAGCGGGGATGTAGAAATGGACGAAGCGGGAGGAAGCGGGCAAGCAAAAATGGAGTCCACTGTCGATTTGTATAGGCCAATACAGGAGGAAAAGATAAAACCCTTCTATGCCTATTACAATGAATCTGGAAGTG